GGACCTGGTTGTTGGTCCTGAAACTTGGTTGAATTGAGATTGATCCTGGAGACTGAGTGAGTGAAGGTGTGCATAAATAGATTTTGAATTTGTTATATGCATGTTTGATGTATTAAGTTATTTTAAAAACTCTGTGGGCAGTTTTGCTAGAATCATTTGAAGGCCGGAGGCCATTTGTGTAAATTGCATGAGATTATATTGTGCATGCTACCGGTTGGGTGATAAATGTGTTTTATGCAGGTGGGAATTTCGGCAGAAAGTCTCGTGCCCTTAATCCTCTTTGGTAAACGAGGACGTAGATTTAAGGAGTGAACCCGGCGTGGGTATGATGCCGGGGTCTCCGCAGGGTTCGTCTCGGGTTCTGGGAAATTCGGGACGGGTCCTGTCATGGTTGGTGAGGATATCAGTGGAATGGTCAAGAGTTTTTTTCACTCCGGGAAGCTTCATAGAACTCTTAATCATACGCATCTCGTCTTGATGCCGAAGATTGCTACTCCAAGGAAGATGACACAGTGGAGACCAATTGCTTTATGCAATTTGGTGTATAAAATTATATCCAAGATTTTAACTGCTAGGCTCAAAGTTTTGCTACCTGAGATCATCAGTCTCAATCAATCTGCCTTTATTGAAGACCGCTTAATTACAGATAATATTTTAATTGTTCACGAGATACTTCATTCGCTTAGGAAGGAGGTGAACTGGGGAGATCCAGTTTGGCTCTGAAACTAGATATGGCAAAAGCTTATGACCGGGTTGAATGGCCATTTGTGGAGCATATGATGAGAAGGTTGGGAATTGATTCTGTCTTTCGGAGTTGGGTCATGGAGTGCGTGTCTACTATAACATATAGTGTGATTGTTAATGGTGAGGCTACAGGACATATTTTACCTTCCCGGGGTCTACGTCAGGGTGATCCCTTGTCTTCTTTCTTATTCTTATTATGTGCCGAGGGCTTGTCAGCTATGATTAAGAAGTAGGAAGAGGCTTGCAGGGCTTCCGATTTCATCCTCAAGGAGGTAGTATTTCACACTTGTTCTTCGCCGATGATTCGGTTATATTTTGCAAAGCTAATGAACGTGAGGCTAGGTGCTTGAAAAATATTCTAGTTGACTATGAGAAGGGGTCAGGTCAGTGTATCAATTTTGATAAAAGTTCCCTCTTGTTTGGGAAAAAATGCCCAGCTCGTGTCCGGAAGCAAGTGGGAGAAATATTACAGGTACAACAAAAGGATGGGTTCAGACGATATTTGGGCCTCTCTGCAGATTTTGGTGCGTCAAAACAGCAGGTCTTTGAGGAGGTACGCAACAAAATTAATGCCAAGCTTATGGGGTGGTCTGAACAATATTTATCGCAAGCTGGGAAGGAAGTGCTAATCAAAGCCGTGGCCATGGCTATGCCGAATTATGCTATGTCATGTTTTCAGTTACCCATTAATTTATGCAAGGAGATAGAGAGGGAGATCATTCGGTATTGGTGGAAGAGGCACAAGGAGCATAAGGGTATCCACTGGGTTGGTTGGCAATGTCTCAGTATGTTGAAAGAAGCTGGGGGTATGGGCTTTCAGGACCTTAGATGCTTCAACCTAGCCATGCTTGCAAAAATTGGTTGGCGAATTATCAAACACCCTGACTCACTGCTGGCCACTACTTATCGGGACAAGTATTTTAGATCCTCAGATTTCATGAGCGCTGGTGGTGGTCGTGGGACGTCGTTGGGGTGGAAGGGTATTTTGCAAGGACGGAAAATATTGGAGGCACGCATGAGATGGCGTATAGGCAATGGACATCAAGTTCGTACCTGTATAGATAAATGGGTACCCTCCCCTTCTTCCTTTAAGATTTATTCTAGACACCCAGAAATACCTGTTTTGGTGCAGGGACTTATTGACGATCAAACGAAGATGTGGAATCGAGATCTTATTTTGCCGTGTTTCAATAGTGTGGAAGCCCAGACCATATTATCATTACCTCTTAGCAGATGGGGCTGTGATGACAGACTAGTGTGGCATTTTACTACGCATGGTGGATACTCAGTTCGTACCGGCTATGAACTTGCTCTAACCTTACGGAAAAGTGGTGAGTTGGGGGGGAAAGCGGAAGAGGAGTGCAGCTATGGAAATGATCGGATTTTGGAAGAGCATTTGGAGATTGCAAGTACCGCCTAAACTTCGAGCATTTGTTTGGAGGAGCTGTCGAAATGCTTTAGCAGTAAAAGGAAACTTGCGGCGTCGATCGGTTGATGTTGATAATACCTGCGTCCTTTGTGGCTGTGAATGAGCTTTTTAATACCTGCGCAAACAGGGTTAAAACTCCTACAAAACTTGCAAGAATGACAAGGTTATTGTAGTATAAATGATTCTCGCAAGGTTGTTCTCCGCAGGGATTATTAAATAACTCGTAGCAACCAAATTCTAATTAATTATTGCAAAAGAGAAAGTTGAGATGTTTGATTTGAAGACCTTAAATTAAAAGGAATTTAACTAATAAAAATAAGGCAATATGCAAAATTAAAGCTAAGAGCAAGAGAAACAGTTGTGTTTTTAGAAATCAAATTAAGAAAGCACTAGGGATCCGCCGTCACCTTAACAATTCTATATAGTTCCCCCAATTACTTATGACCTATACATGCATATTTCGAAGGTTAGGTATTCCTAATATATGCCTACTTGGACCCCCAACATAGAGCGTATATCACACATGCAATCCGTCTGTGGTATTCAGATCAAATCTAAACATACATGACTCATTAAGTTCTATGAAACCTTTTGAAAAACCATGCAACCCTTAAGACGTGGTATTCATCCTAAGTGAACTTGCACATATTAATCACAAGAAGCCTTCGTCAATTTCAGGGACCGACCTCCGACCAAAACTGCATCAAATTACTTTTCTAAACATCCTAATGGTGATCAAGCATCAAGACACTTGGATAGTTTAACCCAGTGATGAATAATTCGAAAACCTGCATGCATATAATCATAAGCAAATTGGACAGAAACTACATATTCTTGCTAAGGCTCGTGGCCTCACCCTAGCAAAAGAGAGTTAGTTACGCATGTTGACAATAAAAATAATCAAGTTCTTCATTAAAATAATAAAGATCGAAAACACCTTGAAATATAAGTTCTTCCAAAATCCTAGCAAAAGTCGCGTTCAAAAGCCAAAAGAGAAGTCAAAAGGGCGTCCACTAAATTTCTGTGAAAAGGAGCTTAAATACCTCCTAAAACCTAGCTGCCCAATCCCCACAAGGAAACTAGGTTAAAATAAGATAATACTAGGATATAAAATCCAAATTGGATTAGGAGAATCTGCCCAAATCTGCCCAGCCACGTTTTGGTCTCAAATCTCCTCCAAATCTAGCCCAAGATAGCTCGTTTTAAAGATAAAAACGTTCTGAACACTTCTCCAGAAGGCCACGAACCCATCTGAGGTCATCTTGGGCTCCAAAACACAATAAAAGCCCAAATCGTCATTATTCCAGCACCGCGCACTGCTCCTTTATTTTATCGCCAGAAAATAACCGCTTGGTAGAAAAGTCTTAAATTTTGATACGATCAAGCCAAGTGACTCACGAACGTCCTCCAACTGGAAATACTCCAAAATTCATCCATTTGATTATGTTTTGCTCCAGAGGGAGTCGAGAGTCCTATATTAGAAATATAATTCAAAGTATCAAAATTCTTCCAAAATATTAACCAAAATATATTAAGAATGAGGTTAAATATATAATATAAAATATGCGCATCAGTGAGCATGCTAGAGTTTTTTGGTTTGGAAGTTCCATACAGCTGGATGCTTCACAGTTGATTGGGGAGGTGAGTGCTGGGACAACTTATTACAGAAGTATGAGAAGCATCAGAACTCTCAAGAAATTTTACAGGTGGTGGTTTTTGGGTTATGGAGGCTGTGGAAAACAAGAAATAGTGTAGTGTTTGAAGGTTCTGTCATGGACCCTACAACGATGGTGGGATGTCTCCATGCGCACAAGAGTATCGGGCTGCCCGGATGGCTGCCAAGCCATTGATTAACGAGTTACCTCATCTGCCAGATCATGTTCAACAGGTGCCTACTGCGTGGACTAAGCCGCCACATGGTTGGGTTAAGGCTAATTGTGACGGAGCTTGGCTACAGCAGACGCAAAAGGGAGGGGCTGGTTGGGTTATTAGAGATTCTGATGGGTGGCTGGTGCAGACAGGGGGTGTAGGGGGATTATGGGGTAGTATGGCCTTGATGATGGAGGCGGAGGCGATAAGAGAAGCCTTGCTGGCTTGCATTAGGGGTCGACTGGTGTATGTGGAGATTGAATCTGACTCGATGCAATTGATCCAGATGCTTAGAGGGAGCGTCAAGTCGATGTTGCGGTGGAGGCTATGGTGTTTGATATTAAGGTGCTTGCTGGCAGGCTCCAACAGGTTGTTTTTTTAGCTACTCCCCGTCAGTGTAATAAGGCAGCGCACGAGGTTGCGGCCTTTGTGTCTAGAGTAGGTGGTAACCACATTTGGGACCGAGTGTGGCCCGAGTGGATCTTTGATATTTTAGCTAGTGATGTAAACTTAGCTATTCGTCTCTAATAAAACTTTCTTCGTTGGCAAAAAAAAAAAAAAAAAAAAAAAATTGAAAAATAGTTGGAATGTAAGGAAATTTAGCACTAGAGGGTAGATTAACTTTAAAAAAATGTTAGTATCCTGAATTTTCTCAACTGAAAAAATATTGGGCAAAATAAAAGTTATGTACAAGTTCAAGGGGAATAATTGATTTTTTTTTTTTTAAAAAAAAAAAACAAATATGAAGAAATAGCTTTCATTCAACTACAAAGCAAGCAAACAAATAAATTACCAATGTATTTTGTGTTGATAAATTAAAAAAATTAAGTTGACTATTAATTTGAGGTGTAAAAATCAGTTCTTACACAACTTAATCAAGAGCACAAGCAACAGGCTCTCATACCTGTTGATTTTGGCACAAGGAATAATCAAGGACTTCACATAGCCTTTTATTGAACATCAATGGCGGGAATCAATGGGAATTGGGGATGAAATGGGGATAAATTAAAAAATTCAGTTGACAATTAATTATCAGTAGTGGCATCGAAGGAGCACAATTATCAAATGAATTTATCCAATATACGACAAAACAAACCATCAATGACGCTCTCACTTCCATCCATTTTATTTCATTAATTCAGTCCAGCAAATGCAAAATTGACATTTAACAATAACTATAAAGAATGAGAGATAAAGACTTTGACTCCAGCCATTCTAAGAACAACTGCTGAGGTGAAAGATAACTTATTCAAGAGCACAAGGAACAGGCTTTTTGCACGCAATTTTTATCTAAATTTCATTCAATTTGTTAGCTTCTTTATTAACAATAGCAGCAAGCTCACTGAATAGTAAAAAATACTTGGCCTGATTTTGAGGATAGGGAGATTTGAAGTAAACAAATAAATCTTTGTCGAGCATTTAGGTGGGTGGGACACATCTAAACCCCTATGTCATGCATATGGTTATCTCTCACCTCCATCAATTTCATTTCATTATTTCATCCAGAAAATACAAAATTGGCATTTAAATTTAAAGAATGAAAGACAGAGACTTTTTCTCAAAAGAAAATTGATTATAGATGAGATCCGAAAGACTTTTCAATGCTCAATTGAACCCCAAAGACTAACCCATACTATATATAAGTAGTAAGGCACGGCCATACAATATACATATACCGCATGAACATTGACCATGACATCTTTAACTTCCGCTAAACTATGCTTCCTGCCTTATTACCTTGTCATCTTGTTGTATGTTTCATCACCAAATCGGGTTGCTTTCCCTTCTGCTACTTCTACTTCTCATACTGAAGCAAAGGCTCTTCTCAAATGGAAAGCTAGCCTATTTCCACATAAAGCCCTCAATGATCTCACCTGGTACCCTCCCACTCATAATATTAATGCCACAAATTCTTCCAGTAGCAATCCGAAACCAAGAACAAGCCCATGCACTTGGATTCGTGTTTCATGCAACTCAGCTGGAAGTGTCAGCAAGATAGACCTTTCCACTTGTGGCATTCAAGGTACGCTACATGAGTTTTCATTCTTGTCCTTCCCTAGTCTTGAATATCTTGACCTCAGCTTGAACAAACTCTTTGATGCCATCCCACCTCAAATCAGCTACCTCTCCAAACTCCACCATCTCGATCTCTCCCAGAATCAGTTCTCTAGGAGAATTCCACCAGAAATCGGTCTCCTAAGAAATCTTAGGTTTCTTAGTCTCTATGAAAATAAATTTTTTGGGAATATTCCCAATGAGATAGGCAACCTGAAATCTCTTGAATATCTAGCGATGTCCTGCAACAATTTAAGTGGTCTCATCCCTCCAGATATTGGTAACTTAACAAAGCTAAACACTTTGTACTTGGGTAAAAATCAACTTTTTGGTTTGATTCCCAAGGAGATAGGGAACTTGAAATCTCTTCTACATCTAGGGTTGTACTCCAACAATTTAAGTGGTCTCATCCCTCCAGATATTGGTAACTTAACAAAGCTAAACACTTTGTACTTGTATTCCAATCAACTTTCTGGTTTGATTCCCAAGGAGATAGGGAACTTGAAATCTCTTCTAGATCTAGGGTTGTCCTCCAACAATTTAAGTGGTCTCATCCCTCCAGATATTGGTAACTTAACAAAGCTAAACACTTTGTCCTTGCATTCCAATCAACTTTTTGGTTTGATTCCCAAGGAGATAGGGAACTTGAAATCTCTTCTAGATCTGGAGTTGTCCTCCAACAATTTAAGTGGTCTCACCCCTTCAGATATTGGTAACTTAACAAACCTAAACACTTTGCACTTGGGTAAAAATCAACTTTCTGGTTTGATTCCCAGGGAGATAGGGAACTTGAAATCTCTTCTACATCTAGGGTTGTCCGCCAACAATTTAAGTGGTCTCATCCCTCCAAATATTGGTAACTTAATAAACCTAAATAGGTTGTACTTGTATTCCAATCAACTTTCTGGTTTGATTCCTAAGGAGATAGGGAACTTGAAATCTCTTCAAGATCTAAAGTTGTCCTACAACAATTTAAGTGGTCTCATCCCACCTGAGATTGGCAACATAACCCAAATTCGTGTGCTAGACCTTTCTTCAAATCATTTAGTTGGGTTGATCTCAAAAGA